AGATTTAGTTTTTTTCTAGTTCTTTATGGTAAGAGCTATCTAGTACTTTTTTTTCTTTTTCTCTCTCTACTACTACTTGTGCGTGGAAGCTTAAAAACCCAACAAGATGTTTTTTGCAAATAAAGAGCTAAATAAAATAGAACCAGCACCAAACAAGAAAATATAAAGCTGAAAAGAAATAACGGAAAAACAACACTAGGATTTTATGTGGTTCGTACTAATGTGATTACATCTACATACGAAGACGAACGACTATATCGTTTTTCAATCTAGTGCCACCCCACATTAAGAAAGAAAAGAAAAGAAATGGTAATTTGTAATTGATCAAAACCAAGTTTAAACAAAAAAAAAAGAGGAAAAAAAGGAAAAAAAAAAAATGTTAGTGAATAAAGAGGAGATAGAAGTTCATTCCATGCGGATTTTCATAAATTGTGTAAAAGAAGCTATACACACGCACAAAAAAATGATGTGAGGGACCTCTTTGGCCATATTCCAATGCTCATGTCGGCCGAACTTTCGTAATGGGATGTTTGTGTAAATGACATCCACATACTCCTTTTGAACCTCTCCCTTACTGTTGTCAAGGCATTAGTGGAGAATGGTGTTTTACTAGTTCATATTAGCTGACAAGAAACTCCTTTTTGCTAATTTTTTTTTCTAGCAATCAAACTTTAGTAAGGTGTCGGTGGACTTAGGATGTGTGTTAGCTTTCCCATTGGCGCTGCTACTTATAATATTGCTTAACTTAAGAATTAAAATGTAGATGTGGAAATCAATTTAGCCAGTAAAATGCGTCGGAAGGAAATTTATTGACTATGGTTCACACTTCACAGTTTTGGTTTATTGTTTGAATTACGTGACTGGGAAAAAAAAAATGGAAGGGTCTTTTTTTCTTTTTTTAATGGTGAATGATGGTCTTTCTTAAACTTGGATTACTAACTAAAAAAAACAGATAGTCCCATTATCATTCAGAAGTCATTTAAATCTTATTATATTATCCTAGGTCACCATGAGTAAAGAGAATACAAAAATTTGGTCCATATACGTACACCATTTCAAATGGGATTTCCTCAATTTCTCTTTTGCCTGGTCGATGAATGTGTGTTTTAATTGTCAATTTATATTTTTATTTGATGTGCAGGCATCTCTAGATATTTACTGATTGAGTTTGTTTTATAGTTAGATTTTACAAACTATCAAAATTGTACCACTCTGGGAAGACTTTGTAGCCCTCCCTTTCTTTGGCTGCTCCCTCTGTAGTGGTCTCCCTGCTAGAGAAAAAGGAAAAATCGAAAAGCGTTTGGGAGATGTGGGTTTCTTCAGCAGTAACGGTTTGAGTGATGTTCCAAGAATGAATCTCATTCCATAATATTAAGTCTATTTTAGCAACCCAGCGACTGACAAACAAGAAATAAGGATAAATATGATTTTGTTTGGTAAATAGGAATTTATTGGAAAAGCAAATTTATTCATCGTCTCGCCCCACTCCCCGAGGTGCCTCCAAACGTATTATGTAAACTTACATGTTAGATATTTGTGTTGAAAATATATTATTAGGGACAAATCCGTCAATCAACTGTAAGGTTGTAAAGGTATTTTCTCCATGAAAATGGGTGGGGGCCTTCTCACCTATTGACTTATTTAAAAAAAAAAAAAGCCAGTATGGAGATTACCTGGAAATTGAAAATCTCAAGTTCAGGTTTTGTGGGAATGGGGTTCGGGAAAAAGGTTAGGAACATAACATCTCACCATCCATTTCCGCCGGTAATGAGTCCGAGTTCAAGTTGGGAGGCAGAAAGAAAAAAGTTGTTTGTGGGGTGGGGATGAAAAAAAATGTAATTGTCATATTTGACAAAATGGCCACCCTCTCTATCTCGATCTCAAAAAAAATCAAGTGGTGTCTTTTGAGAGAAGGGAGGTAGGCTCATTCTCTTGGACCCATCAGCGCCGCCCAGGCCCAAACCAGATGAGACAGGCCTCAACTTTTGGGCATTAATAAAGGGTGCTAAGAAGACCACCAACATCATTGGCCCGCTGTAGGCGGCCAAGGCGCAGTAAATGCCAAAAGCCTCTCTCTCTCTCTCTGTCTCCATCGAAGGCGGTCACGAGTATCCCTTGACTTGCACAGCTCACCCCACCGCCTACTCCTACCACCCATTTCACTCCTCAATCATCCCCCAATAAAACCATTAAAATTAAAGAGTGCGATACCCTCCTCTCTCTCTCTCTCTCTCTAAATGAAAGCTTTAAATTTGATGATGTCGCCTACGATTCTACACATCCAAATCTTCGCCTCAACATTTTAGGCCACAAATGTACCCTCTTCAATCCTTTTTAATCACTCCACTGCTTGCTTATTATACTAACTAAAGCTTGGTTTTAAAATCTACGGTTTGACTCATGTACCATACCCACCACGTTAAACACTTTAGTGAGGCCTAATTTTCATTCGGAAAATTCAAAATGCTCAAAAGGTCCCTTCAAAAATTTGAGAATGCTGGGAGTTGTATGCATTTTCTGAATATTAGGTATGGACACCTTTTCAAGGCGTTTATTCTAATACGAGTCATGTGGAAAGTACATAGAGACCACCCCTACTCCGTTATTTTTACGGGGTGTGAAAATTTGGGACAAATTAACTTCCTAAGCGTTCCCGACATTAGAAAAACTGGATTTATTATAAGTAATTATTAATATTCAATATGCAGTGTAATTAATTTTATTTATTTCTTTTTTTATTTACTGATATTTGTATTTGAATGCATTTTATTTTTCAATAGATTTTTCTTTATCCTATATTTTATATTTTTTCTTTTTTTTTATTTCTAATTTTCCTACTTCCAATTTCTATCCTATTTCTATTCTACTATTCTTCATTTTGTATATGAAAATATATTACAAAGAGACCATTTAGTTTTAATGCAAGGAGGACACAATTACTTTTGTTCGTCAAATTTCCAATGGGGTGGTTATAAATATGTCATTTACTAGACTCAAAGTTCAAAAAATAACTTTTTCAAACTTTGTGACATTCCCGTAACCATCCAATTTGACATGTAATGGCTACTAGCAATTGTGACCTCCTTAAAAAAAAAAAGATAAATATACAATCCATTTATATCTGTATATTCTAATTCTAAAATTAGAATAAAATAGAATGAAAAATATGATTAAAATTTAAATTAATTATATAAAATGATAGAATAGGAATTCTTATTCTTATATTAGAAAAAATATTTTGATAATTAAATATTTCTATCTATTCAATATTTCATAATAGAAAAAATATTCTAGTGTGTTGAATCTATCTCAACAAATTTTATTGAAAAATAAAATAAATTCAAATAAAAATATTAATAAATAAATGAGAAAAAATAAAATTAATTAGATTGCATAAATTCTATGATACTAATTAAAATATTAGTAATTAAATAATAATAATTTGTAATGAGTCTAGTAGTTCTTATGCCGAACAACTTAGGAAGTTGAGCTGTCAAACACATTTTTTGCAAAATCACCCAATCTAACCACTAACTGCCCAGTTAGATCAGAACCGGCTCGTGGTCAGTTATGGTTTAGGGAGGTTAGGGTGATCAACCGGTATTTAAAAAAAAAAACAAAAAAAATGTATATAAATTATCAAAAATAAGGAATTTGATTTGTAATGCATTTTTAAATATTCTTTACATTATGGGAAAGATTAAAAATTGTTTTGGTCATTAATACTCACTTTTATATTTTCTCATATATTTTTAAAAAATTTTAAAAATAGCCCTTGGAAAATATAATTAATTTTCAACTTCATTTGAATGTTTTTTTTTAATAATTATTTATATGCTTTTCATAATTTAATAGATTTTTTTTTTTTTTTTTAACACTTTTCTGACCGCCTGGGACTTGTCCGGTTAGAGTGGTTGAATCAGCCGGTTAAACCGCTTCCAGGTCCATATCCGATTAACCGTTCCGATTCGATTTTACGCACACGTCCAACATTAGAAATACCGAACAATAGGCTATTCGATTTTCCTAATATCGGACATGCCCGATAATATAACTTTTTTTTATAAGTTGAGCTATGTGACATTAGAAACACAAACAACATTTGGTGTTGCTAATACCAGATACGCCCTAACTAAGAGAATTTCCCATCTGCTCGTGTTGGAAATGCTAGACAGATGGGTTGCAGGGTGGGAATAGTGTAGGTGTAATTCTCACAAAAATGTAACCCATGTGTCCTCAGGTATTTTTTTCCTTCTTATAATAAGTAAAAGGAAATATTTTATTTTCTTATAATAACTAAGGGAAAACGATAATATAAGGTTGATGCCTTAAAATATAGAATGTCAAAAATCTCTTAAAAAAAGTTGTTTGGATGTTAAAAAAATATCTAATCGATCATCTCGACATCGAGGTATATGGATATGAAGAATAGAAAGATTTTCAAGTCCTAGAAAGAATAAATCTTACAATACATTGTCTGGACCTTCCGTTTTCAAAATGTTAATGTGTTCATAGATCTACTTGATTTGAATCATTTTTGGAGTTTTAAAATTTTATAATTAGAGATAAAATAGATTCTTGTGCCATCTTAAAAAAATTTTAACGCTAAAATTACGTTTTTATGGCAAAGTTTGAAGGTGCGCAACATCCATAACAAAATGTGGTGTATATTCGCCAACGTAAATTTGCAGAGGAGTTTATTTATCGGTATTATCGTCATTAAGACTGAGTCTTCACCATCGTACAATTCTCAAGCAAGTTGTTGGGACCCTCCTAATTAGGTAGGGGAAGGCTCTATGGGTATGGCATGGGAGAGAGATTTGGGGTGCTTTTGATATTTCTTAATTGTTGGGTTGCTTTTTCTTTTTCATTTGGCCAATTTACCTGCTGCTGCGTAGGTTTTAGAGGGATGGGTTCTCGCTATTTGTGTGTGTTTTGAATTGTCCTTTTCGCATCTTTCTTTAGCACCTAAGCCAGGCCCGCCCTATTTATTCATTCATGGACCGACTGTTGTCTATGACACTACTCGTATCATCTCTCTCCAAAACAACAGTCACCCGTCTCTCTCTCTCTCTCTAAACAAAAATTACACGAAAACTCTAGCAGATAGATGAGGTTGATTGTTCTTATCATGTGTCCTCTCTTAACTGTAGAATGCCCTTGATTGAGATTCTAGCTATAAATGAGAGGGGGAGGAGGAGATGTTGGTAGTGAAGTATCTGTGAGATATGATGATGATGATGAACAGTATGAATGACGCGGAGAAGGAAGGAGGAGAGGAGGTGTTGATGCCAGGTTTCAGATTTCACCCTACAGAGGAAGAGTTGGTAGAATTCTACTTACGCCGTAAGGTCGAAGGCAAGAGGTTCAGTGTTGAACTCATCACTTTCCTCGACCTCTACCGTTATGATCCATGGGAACTTCCAGGTCTCTCTTTAATTCATGCTCTTCAATTATGGAGGAGCTTCTAATTACTCACTGACTGACTTAATTATGTTCTCTTTCTCTCTGTACATAAATATAACAGCACATGCAGTGATAGGTGAGAAGGAATGGTTCTTTTATGTGCCGAGGGACCGCAAGTATCGGAATGGCGACAGGCCGAACCGCGTAACGACATCCGGCTACTGGAAGGCCACAGGTGCGGACCGCATGATCCGTGGTGAGAGGAGCAGCAGGCCGATCGGTCTCAAGAAAACCCTTGTCTTCTATTCGGGGAAGGCCCCCAAAGGCACCCGCAGCAGCTGGATCATGAATGAGTACAGACTTCCCCAACATGAAACCACTTCCGCTGATCATAATCATCATATATTCCAAAAACAAAAGGTACTAATACTGTTCTTACACACTCTAATTAGATCCCAATTT